TTGTGGAGATCTGCTCTGCTGAAGTTTTGTAAGCAAGCCCAGGATACAGGTAAGCATCCTATCTTTTCTGTTTTCTGCTTTGATGTAATAACTATATAGCCAAGCTCTCTGGTATACCTCATAGCTATAACATCTGTACATTGATTGATTGTACAGTGTGTGAGAACAGACTTGTGCAAAAGCTGGAGAAACCATTAAGGTCGTGGCAGGTGCTGTTTTGAAAGATGCTCAGGCATTTCTGGTGTACATAATGATGACTCCAGATTCTTTGAAATTCTAAGAGGTTATTGCTGCTTTTTGTCTAGAGGTTTGGATGTATGTGGGATGTATTCATCATGTGTTTCTTCTTGTTAGCAGTGCTGTGCTTTCTTCAGAGGACAAGGTAGTAAGCTCTGTGTTACTGCTCGCAGCCCTGAACTCCTTAATATGGGGTCAGTGATGGGTTAAGATAGAAGGAGTAAGGTGCTTATGAAGGCTAGGTCAGGGCATTAGCTCTCACTATTGACAGTTTCAGAGTCCAGAGGGACTTAGTACTAGGATGATAAAAATCTCTAAGCTGTAGCTCAAGGCAAGGAGCCAGGCAGAGCACTACTCTATGCACCTGACTGCAGCACCCAGTGGTGTAGTAGGAGATGGCAGAGGCAGCCAGGGCTGTGGTGAGGTGGAGCTGCGCACAGTCTGCAGAGCAGCAGCCTCACAGCAATAGACTAGACCTTGGAGAGGGCTGGGGGCCGAGTGTTCATTTGCTTGTGCGCTTTCCTGCTGTTTAGAGGCAGTAGTCTTGCTGCATAGTATCATCCTGACTGGTCAAAGCAGGAAGCAGAAAACCTGCCTCCTGTGCTGCATATGGGGGGGATCCAGCTTGCATCATTATTTCTGAAAGGAAGAGTTGCTGCCTACTAACACCAGCGTGGCAGCTGCTGACAGCCTCCACTGGGCCATTCTCCTAGCAGGTATAAAAAGAAGGCTGTAATATAGGTTACAAATTACTCACTAGAAAATGCCTGAATCTCTAGCAATTTTAACCTGGATTAGTTGATCTTGTGGTTTTCTTCTTTTCTGCTAGGTCCAGAACACTTCATCAGCAGGAGGATCCAATCCAGTAGCCAAGTCCTGGCTCCAGTCTGCACATCTGCATTTCCAAGGCCCACACTTGCTCTTGGCTGGATTCTGCTGTGGGCTGCTGTTAGGGTTCGCCCTAGATGAGGAATGCCTTCTTTCCTCCAGAGTCTGTCTTGCTTTAAATTGTTTTGGCTGGGAATGTGGTGTGCTCTACTTCCCAACGTGCAGCCCTGTCATACAAACCAGCCTCTGCATCTCCATTTCTCCTCTGATGTAAATGTAGTCACAAATTTGTTTTGTAAAGTGAAAGTGGGGAAGGTTCCTCCCACAAAATCCAACAACAACGAAAAATACATAGGTGTATAAAAGCTAATAACTCACAAACTTCAGCAGGTGCTTCAGATTTGAGAAAATTGAACTCCAGCTGAGTATAAGTAGGTAATATTCCATGATCATTTCCCAGGATTATAGGCTTCTCTGCTGATGCTTATGAAGATTGGTGCTTCAATATATCTATATATCTCTGTAGATATAACATTAGTGCACAGATCACATACAGTAAAAGCATCAGGGCATGTTTTTGGTGCATTTCCTGAGTTGTGTGGATTGCTGTATGCCTGTATTCACCACTCAGACTAACTGCCTACCAGGGAGCGGAGTTTACTCTGGCACACCAAAGAACTCTGGCATCATTCCCCTGTATGTCCCAGAGCTAGCTTGTCATCAGCAGTCAGCTGCTGCTCAGGAGCTGCTTTGAACAGCAGGAAGGAAAGATTTTCTTGCCTATAGTGAAGGGGAGAAACTAATCACCTTCTTAGTGCAAAGTGAGTCTAATCGTGAAGGGCTGAATCTCAGTGGGTCTTAATTTTACTTCTTTGTGAATGCTTGAAAGTGATTTCTACAGAAACCAGTTAAACTCCTTTCTTCTTCTAAGAGAAAGGCAAACTGAATTCTAGCCTACAGATTAATTGGTGATAACATCTAGGAGAGAGCATTATCCCTTTCCTAACTCTGCAGACCATAGCTTGGACCCCTAATAGGACTAGGTACCACTGTCTGCAAAGACTTCAGCTCAATCATTTCATATTTCACAAGCTTACAGCTTAATCATATTGTTCTTTCCTTTTCTAATATCTGCTATATTTGTATTTTGCATGCTGTTGGATGCTCAGAGTAGAGAAGAAAATATTTCTCTTGTCCAATTATTTCTAGAGCTTAGCATAAAATTAATGTTTCAGCATACTGAATTGACTGTATTTTACATTTCCTCTGGAATTGAGGTTACTAGACAAAATCTAATGCATGTGTTTTCTTCTATGGAGCAGAAAGGTTTTGTCAATTAGTCAGATCCAGAAGGCTTCAAGATTGTGTTCCTTTCTGTTAGTAATATCTTTAAAATAGAAGAAGTTAAATACTGTAAGGCTTTCTTCTTTGGAGTGGGGAGAGCTTTCTGCATTGCTTTTAAGTCAGTTAGGTTCCTGAACAAACTTCACAAGGGCTATCCAAACGTTCGTGGTGAAATAACTGAAGGAGTGGTATATTTTGCCTTAGAGTTAGGGCAAAGAAATGGCATGACAACGCCTTGCTATTACATCACCAAGAATTAATCTTAGGAAACTAGACTGGCTTTCCCTTTTTGCTCTGAAAACAAAATCTTAATAAAAGTGATGTGCTTAGTTCAGAGTGAGATTTCACCTGTACTTAGTATTATGACTGCTTTTTTGGTATCTTGAGGTAGGTAGTGATTCAGTAAACAGTTGTTTAAAAGCCTGATTAGATCTTGTAAGGGCTAATTGACAACCTCCTGTGAGTTGCAATTGTGAAGCTGCTTATTCTTGCCACATATTTAAGGAAGTAAATGTTATAAATTTCTCTTAATTAGAACTACAGCCATATAGAGAGAGATTTATATATAAAATCTTTATGCTCTAATATCCCTTAAAAGTGTTGTGAAGTACTTTGGAAGAGTTCAAATGAAAGAATGGCTGCAAACATCAAAGACCAGTTGTTTTTGCCTTTTAGTTCATTTATTTCATTCTCTTGGCTTGCACACCTACTTAATAAATTGGAAATTCCTATTGAGGGCAGTGTGGTACAGACTTCACATCTTTATGAACAGCACCACTCTCCTGTTCCATTGGAGAACTGTTATTGCATCTAGACACGTTTATAGAATTTTAACTCCATATTAAAGCTGTTGCTTGTGAGAGGAGTAAAAACTTCATTAGTTATTTCTGCTTGTTGGCCAAACCCTTTTCTGGAGCATGCAGTAGGCTCAGATCTTAAGCAGAGACTTCACGCTTGCTTTTTTGTACCTTTTTCATCTCCAGCTGGCTCTGATATTCTCAATAGCCCAACCACCTTCTCATCTCTCCTGTTTGCTTGGCATTGCATGGTGAGACAATCACTACTTGCGGTTATGGGGATGATGGGGGGGGAGCTGGAATTTGTAAAGGTTAGTTGTAGGGATCCTACAGAAAAGTGTTGGAGTAGTCTTAGCAGGGTGATTATAGATCCTATAGCTTGGATTGATAAGCAGGAGAAGGTTCACTGAAGTTGAATGGAGATAGCAGGGGGCATCTCATTCTGAATATTTCAACCTATGGGATCAAAGTGACTTCCTATCTTTTTGGTTGAAATAATGGCAGGTAGGGTAGAGATTAAATGATACTAGAGTAGCCAGGGGTTCTAGTGTAGTCACTGATAGGATTCAGTACTTTCTGCTGGTGAGCCGTAAGTGGATGGGGAGATCTACAAAGGAGCTGTTGATAAGAACCTGTTCAGCTAAAAACAGAACAAGATATAAATGACTCCAAATCTGGCTGTCACTGGATAGAAGTTGTATCATTTGTCCTTTTGGACTGGCCCATTCAGTCAGAGGCAACCCCATATGAGAAAAGGGTCACCAGAGGTCACCAGAGACTGCAGGTTTTCATTACACCTGCTTTTAACCATAATATGATACCACAAAGGGAAGATGGAGTAATTAATGAGATGCCTACATGCATGTAGGAATTTAAGTATAAAATTGACCATATTTATTTAAAATATACCTGGACTAATGTTTATAAAGACTGATGTTTCAGGTGTGTTGAGTAACATCAAATAACAAAATGAAGTCCATGGGTGTGTCCATTAATAAAACCTTAATCTTAGTCTTTACATAGCTTAAAAGAGTTTCAGGGTATCACATTGTGTAAATGGGTTAATCAGACTGCAGTGGAACTAAATCTTTTCTGGTAAGCAGCAAATACTGCTCTCTAGCATTGTAAGTGGTTGTTTAAGGTTGTATTCTTTTGATGCTGATTTTTTTCTGCATGTAATTTCTCTTCTGTGAAAGGACTTTTTGAACTAACAGAGCAAATGGCCCCAGGGAAGAAAAGGAAGCTCATATAGTTAAATGAATGGTAGCATCTAGCAAATTGTATTAACTGGAAATAGCTTTTTTAAATGCTCGTTGCTCAAGAGTCTGGCAGAGCCACATCTATTTAATTGCTTCTGTTCCATACAAAGACTGAAGCTGTGGTCTGTGAAGAAGAAATGTCACAGCTGGGACAGGTGTGCTGCTTACAGCCTGTCTTCAGATGAGCATCGAGTGCTGGTGAACAGTCTGGATAAGCTGAATAGGAAATAATTGTTCTGAAAAAAACAGAAGACTTAAGCAGAACTCCCTGCCAGTCTTACTTAAGTGGTTCATGCTAGAACTGGAAAAAGTAGAAAAGGGTAGTATGGTGAAGGAGACTGATACAGAATTACAATTTTCAGATACAGCTTCTAAAGGACGGCTTTTAAGACACTTATTCTCATACCTCATGTGAGAGAAAAATAAATGAGAATGAGAAAATGCAGAAAAAAACTAAAACATGTGACAAGTATCTGAAGGAGTTTATCAGCATAAAAAAGGAAGTGGTATGTTATTCCTGTGTTTCTTTTTGCAGATGGCGTGGTAGCTAAAATTGAGAAAAAGATTACAGAAGCTTTTAAGGTATTTGATCACGAAGGAAATGAAACTGTGGATGTCAGGTTTGTAAATATCTTCACATAGAGATATTACAGGCTGTAGTACGGAGATAAGTAACTCCCCAAACTTGCATCTGCCTTACCAGAAAATGTAACTTAAACAGTCCTTTTGACACTGATCAGACAAGTATTTCTTTGTTTAATAAACATTTTGCACTGCTCAGTGGTTGGAGGCTGAGACTGACTTGAGAAAGGGATGCTGGGACTGGTGGGGCCGAGAGGCAAGAGGAGGGTGAATCCAGTCAGGAAGTCTCAGGCTACAGTTACTGCTAGCAAATCTCTGCTCTAATAGCTCATTTGGCTCTATGTCCTGGGTACTGAATGGATACCTTCACTTTCAAAATATTCTTTGCACATCAAGGCATGTCCCTGCCAGTCTCTGCCATGATTACATGCTCTCAGTAGGTCATCCCTACTTCAGTGCAGTGCACACATCACTCCTTCTCTGGGGTACTGTGATGTGTGGATATTGCTCTCATGGGGAGGTGTTTTAGGAAGCTCACATGTACCTTGCATGTAGGTGTATTATATAACCATACAGTAACAGTACTATGTATTACTGTACAGTAATAATGAATATAAGGGTGAACACACTCAGCTGTACTAAGAGTTTGCGTAGTCAAGTATCTTCATCTGAACTAATAGTTGTTAGCTGGGGAAGGAGTAAGGAATTACAGTTTCTTCTTTGTTGTACATCCGTCACATGGATTTGAGTGACTCTTGATGTACTTTGTTAGATAGTGAATAAGTGTTCTCTGTTAACTTCTGAACACCATTGATTTCATAGCTCTGTGTTGCATTCCCGCCTCCACCACTGAAGTTCAATGCTGAAGAGTCTAGATATGTTTAATCTTTAATGAGAAACTGTTCCATTGCTCTAGTCATTCATTTTTGTGATGCTTCTTGTAGGGCTGTCTTTTTTTTCTTTAAATGGCGTGACCAGAACTGGGGGCCTGGGATGGCCAGGAGAGTCAGGAACTGTACCTGTTATGGCTTTAGCCTGCAATGTTGTGGAAATAGAAACAAAAATATACATCTGAGGGAATAAAAAGATCGTGGACTGTTAGACTCATCAAGGCATAACAGGATACACAATATATAGCTAATGGATATCAAATTTAAAAGTTCTTAATACTGATATATTTGGAGTTTGAATATTTGACAATGCTACTTCAATTTCATTTTAACATAAATATTCATAACATGTAACAATATTACTTTTGTCATAAAAAATTAAACACACTTATGTCTCCTTGAATTTTACAAGCCATTGTCATTGAAGATTACCAAAGGAATCTTACATGTTTCAAACTACTGTTTTCACAAGAATTTCACCAGATCTTTTATTTATAATTCAATTAGTTCAATTTTTTAAACTCTACAAAGGAGGGGGGAGAGCTGATGAAATTATTTTGTCATTAGACAGGATGTGTGAGGAACTCACATGTGAAATGACTTTTCAGTTTTAGTGGTAGGGGGAATTTCAGGACAAGTCTTCACATTTGGTTCAATTCTGTTCCATCCTCCCTCAAGTTTTTTTTAAGATTATTTTCTTAAATCTGTTGATTTATCTCCATCCTCAAGAAGGTGCTCAGTGCCTGGAGCTGTAGCTGCCCTGGTGTTCCCTCAGCTGCTTGCTCCTGGCTGGGTTGGTGGCACCAAGGAACCCCTGACCCTCACTGTACCATGTCATACTTGTTTATTTGTTTGTAATTTACATCTGCAGTCTTGCCTGCATAGATGTAAAGTTTCTACACTCTGCAGTGCATATAGAGCTTGAGAAAAATGTTAGAACAATTAAATGATTCAAATATAATTCTTTTGAATGTTTTCATTCAGCCAGTAAGTTATAACATATGAGAAGGAACATTCAAAGTCTATGTAACACTGTAGATGCACTATTTCACAACTCTTTATAATCAAAGAACAATTATGACAGTGAAAAACAATTTATTGCCTTCTTTATTGTCCTATGTTAGCATTGCAGGGCTGTGTCACAGTAATGTGACTATTAATGTATGATTATCTTGTATCAGAAGGTGGCAGCACAGCACAATTCTTAGCCATGATTGTAGAAATGAGTGTTATTTCCTGAAATATCAGATATATGTGAAGAATACAGAAAGCTTGACAGAATAACATGAGTGCTAGGTAACTCCTAATGCAAATACAAGAATTAGTAAATAATTAAGCCTGAGGAGGATAGTGTTTCATTCTGCTTAGAATATATCCTACGTCAGTGGCATCCATGATTTTGCAAATATTGTCGTTGAGAGTATGATATAAGATGAAAACCATGACAGAAAATTGTCATTGTGTCTGTCTGATCTACAAAACTTATATGAACATAAGCTAATTTGAACTATATTTTTGTATGCCGGAAACTACACAGCAGTTTCAGTTTTGCTGAACAAAATGACAGTCAGGAGGAAAATAGTTGTCTATTTGTGCAGCAGGAACACAGCAGGGCTACCTCACTTTTGTAATTGTTGTCTTCTGCAGTTAGAATTTGTATCTTTATAGTATTTAATGTAAACCTATGTTTTTGTCACCTTTCATCTCAATAAATTTCAAAATGCTTTATTAACTGTAAATACGTGTAAATGTAGACTTTATTGCAGTTAAGTCTAATAATTACAGGAAATCAATTGAAAATTAACTTACACACAGTAATGAACACGAGTAATAAGGAATTTTTGGGGAAACCTACAAGTACAATCATACTCTTCCAAAAGCTTCAAGATATTTAACATCTGTAAAAGGAGGCATTGCTTACTGAGACATTATTTTAAAAGTTCATGTAGATGGGCTTATGCATGTGGGTACTTATACATGCATGCTCCTATATGCAAGCTCTGAACTGATGGCTGTATTTGCCACAGCCACTCTTGTTTTGCAGAATCACTGACACAGATGTTTTACTTTCTTTCAGAGAGATTGGTTCAATTGTCAGATCACTGGGTTGCTTCCCAACTGAGGCAGAGCTACATGAACTGCTTGCAAAGGTAAAGGATTTACATATTTCTATTATCTTCTATCTTGAACTTGCACAAGTTGGACCCTTCTGCCTAGCTGTATGGGGGAGCTATGTTCTTTTCCACAGGTGAAAAGAGGAATTGTCATGTGTCATGGAAGTGAACTAGGCAGTCTCTCAGGTTGCTGTGAAACAAACCCTTATGCCATTGAGAGAACAGCACAGATGGCTTAAAATGGGGAGTTTGACTGTCGTTTACCACAGAAGGCTACTGTGATACTGAGCCATGGTGGAGGGCTGTCTTTAGAAAATGGAGGGATAGAATGTTTTTGGCTGATGAAAATGATTGTCCTAAACTGCAATTAGATTAGATATGCAAGCCCTAACTATCTAGCTCTCTGGACATGCCAACATGCCATAGACAAATGCTGGATGACTAAATAACAAAAAATTATTCTTGAACAGGTATTAAAATTATACATAAAAATCCAAAAATATGCAGAGAACAGACATGGCAGTTTTTCTCCTACAGATTCTGTTACCACTGCACCTTATAGCCAGCCTGCTCAATTTTCTGTCCCTCTGAGGCCTATCTCAGTCTTGATATTTCTCAGTTAGGTAATCTTTTCTTTCTTAATTACTTAAGTCTGCAAGTCAGAATTCAAACATAAAGACTCTCAAGACTTAAAGGCCCTTCCAAAGATGTAGAGAGATAAGGAACTTCTACTGTCTTTTACAGCACAGGAAAAAACTGTAGACATTTTTCTCCTCAACACATGCTTGTAATGGGAAGGCTGGAGTTACGCTGCCATGGCAGGGTGGGGTTAATGCATGGGGCAAAGTAGTGGGAAAAAGACTTCATGTAGTTTTTGAATAGTAGTATACCTTAAGGAATGGACAGTTCTGGAGCTGAAAAGTGAGAGAGGAATCTTCTCTTTTTTCATGTATACATTAGTGTCATGGTTTAAACCAGCAGGCAGCTAAGCACCGCACAGCTGTCCAGTGGGATGAGGAAGAGAATAATAAAAAGTAGAACTTGTGGATTGAGATAAAAACTAATATAGAAAAAAGAGAAAAATAATAGTAATGATAATATATCAATATTTACAAAACAAGTAATGCACAATCAGTTCACCACTAACCAACTGATGCCCAGCCAGTCCCCAGCTAGACTGCTCTTCTGGCTGACTTCCCCACTTTTATTGTTTAGTGTGATATGATATGGAATATCCCTTTGGCCAGTTTAGGTCTGCTGTCCTGATTCTGTCACCTCACAGCTCTTTGTACACCCAAAGCTCCATCACTGAAGAAGCTGCAGCATAGTTGGTTATGTGTAGTACTGCTCAGCAACAAGTACAACATTGGTGTGTTATCAACTTTGTTTTTCTCCTAAAGACAAAACATGGCATCGAATTAACTCCAGCCCAGGTAAAACCAGGACAGTCAGGATGCTGAGTGTCTCTCTCTTTTCTTTGTATGATTATGTGCCTATCTCTCCTCAGTACTTGCTCCATCTCTTGTAGATCAGAATTTAATGGGAGAAATCTTATGCAAAGTCTTAGATCTAGCAGTGCTAACTGCTTCAGATAATGAAGTGCAAGTAACAATTGGAGGGGAAAGATCTTTTAACGTGATGCTGCATTTTGTCTGCTGTTGTTCTCTACTGTCAGTAGTAGATTATTCTAGCTTCCACTGACAAACAAGATAAAATGGAAAGATTATGGTGCTTAGGAAAGATTCTTACTGTCCAACAGATTTTTGTTTACAGTAAATGGACAGTGTAACTGACTCAGCATACAGATTTAAGAAGGAGATGCTTTGACATAGAATTACAGAATCTTAGCCTTAGAGCTGAAGGAACCTTTGGTCATCTAGTCCGACTCCTCTGCAGTGAACATCTCCCTTCCAGTCCAGAGGAACTTTAAAGTCCTGGCTCTTCCTACCAATCTTTTCTTCCCCCCACTTTTTAGCATAACTGAAAATTTGAGATAAGTAATGTAACAAAGTACAGTGCAATGCAACTATGAGATGGAAAGTTCTTGATGCAATGATATAACACATGTAACTTGTTTGTTTGTATGGGTAGGAAATTAAAGTTTTCATAGTGTTTGTAAATGAAACCCTGACATAGGTTCAGTACCAGAAGAAGACTGTCTTCTTGTGGAATCCTCAGTGTATTATGCTAGTCACTAATATCAAGTTATCTGAATTTATATAAGGTACAATTACCATTGACTATGGTAATACCACTTTATCTAGATAAAGTAAAAATTTTCTCTGGTGGCCGGTTTTTCGTCAAACTATTTCTCCAGTATTTTTGCCCTTTTTAAACTGTGGATTATTTCTGTTTTTCACTACCTCTCTACAATTCCCTGAAAGGAGGTTGCAGTGAGTTGGGTGTCAGCCTCTTCTCCCAGGTAACAGTGATTGGATGAGAACGATTGGCCTCATGCTGTACCAGAGCAGGTTTCAGGTTGGATATTACAAAGAATTTCTTCTCAGAAAGTCTAATGAGGTATTGGAACAGGTTGCCCAGGGAGTTGGTGGAGATATGAAACAGAATGAATGCTACAGTACATCTGTGGTGGGAGCTGTGGATGTACCCAAAGAAGGGAACAGAGCAACATCCATGGAGTTTGAGCAAGCACTGTTATTTTAACAGCCACTATGTAAAAAAGTAAATCTAGGTATTTATTGACTTGAGTAAAGTTAATACATTCAGTTTTCTCTCATATCTATTTAATATTAGTAATAGGATTAATTTTAGTGGTTGAAGACATTGCTGGGCCTGTACAGCCACTGGAATGGCAGCTGTTCTAGAAGGTCAGAGAGAGTTGAGGTTTCTTACTACCTCAAAGTGTTAGGCCTGTTGTCAGGAAATTCTTCACAAACTGCATTCTGGATGCAGAGTACAAACAGCACACCAAAAAAGAGACAAATTTGGATGACATTTGTTAGTGAGGGTTGACACTTTCACAGGTATTTGTTATGTTGAGGGTTCATTATTGGTGAGTTCTTCTGTTATGAAAATTAGGATAATATTGAACTGTTTGGATGAGCAGACTGAATGGTTTTGGGCTCTTCAACATAGTCTATATAACTTACCATCTTCATGGATGTTCTGGGTCCTTGTTTTTTGTTGTTCTGTTTAATGTAAGATGTATACATTTCTTATAGCTATTATATTTCATTTTCTGTCTGTGGACTTTTGAACTAATATAAGTTGAAGCACAGATGTCTTCTAATACATTCTGTGTACAGATAGTTCTCAAAGTTGTGATGCAGTTCTATGTTTAAGCAACTTAATGTATTAGACAACACCCTACTCTCTGACCCAGCTCCCAGGAGGAAGATTTATAACTTTGGATCACCCTGGCTCAGTTAGGCGATTTCAAATCAGTGCCTATTTGAGTTGTCTTTCAACCTGAGCTGTGTCTGTAAAGAGCCTGGCAGGATGTGACTAACTCCATTAAGAGCTCTGTTTAGGGATAAAACTTTCCTCTTTTAGGAAAGAGATGCATCCAAGTTATAGGGAGCAGTCTTTTAGAGTAGGAATGCCATCAGAATGCTACTAGAAGTCCATAATGTTTTGGGACTAATCTGTTAATTTATTTGAGAGGCAAAGGGAAGCTTTTCTTCATGCAGTAATTTATGGACTGACTTATGACTGTTTCAGACTGCCCTGACTCCATCCGTCTGCTTCTCTGGACCTTCTCTTCATGACTCTCTCTGGCTACGAAACGTGGACGCAACAAATTCCATCCTTGATGTACTAGACTGGGGCTATGTCCAGTTAGCACGTTAAACATGCCCAGCAATATCCTCAGGTACTGAAGCCAGCTGGCACAGAACAGCCCATGTGTACCCTAGTAAATGTTTTATGCTGGGTAGCTGTACAAAATGGCTGCTGGGGAGAAGTGCCCACAGACCCGATGCCCAAACTGGACCTGGTAGCTGTTGGACAAAAGTTTTGATGGCATAGGCCAAAACCGTGCTGACAGTGTGCTGTGATGGATGATCATGTTGCACATCCTGGGGATGCTCCAGGTCATACCTGCCTTCACTAATATAATTGCGGTCTCAATTTTTAAACTGCTGCTGAATTATTGTGGAAGATCAGTTAGGTGGCCAAATGGTTTCTAAGCACAAGAGGGCAATATTGAGTTGTTGAAAGTTTCTGAAATAGCAGGCATATGTTTTGTCTGGGAGATCATTTCTTCCTTGAATTTCTTTCTAGTTGAGCACAAGTATTTCAGGCATATGTTATGGTGCCATGTGACATTAAAAAAACTTTGTATAAGTACTCAAAGTCTAAATCTGTAATTTTATTGCAGGACTCACCTCAATTTTCTGATTGCTCTATTAGTTTGCTAGTGATTCACATAACTTACTGTGCTTAAATCTTATTTTTAGGTAGAAGAAGAAGAACCAACTGGATATGTTCATCTAGAAAAATTTCTTCCAGTGATGATAAAAGTATTACTTGACAGAAGGTAATGTAAACTGGGTCTTTAGTTTATTCCATGGTTGATTCTGAATGAATTTCTCTGCAGTAATTTTTTGTAACTCTAAGGAATACAGATTTTTTTTAAAAAAAATTAAGTTAGGTAGTGAGATTTTAGTTCAAAATGATACAGTCTACATAAAATTGTGTTGTACTGTTGGTACAAATATCAGCTTATAATGAATTGTGATAATGTCTAGCTATTGTATTTTCAATGTGAATCAGAATTACTTTGCTATGTCAACTGAAAATATTTTATATACAAATAAGGTCACAGCCATTACTTTATCTGAGTCTCAGTTGCTGAGAAGCACAGTCTGTTAAAGTGTATTTTTAATAAGTTCTATAAATCAGCTTCATGTTCATGTCTCAAAGTGACTGCCAGGTACTGTTGAATATACACAACCAGCACTCTGCTGATCTAAAATATTTGCTGATCTACAAGTCTGGAAAAAGAGTGCTATTCATTATTGAAAGGTACCTACAAATCTTTGGATGTACACAGGAACTTGTGCTATTTTGATATTTTGCACTAAAAAGCAATCTTTCTTTAGGGAGTAAAATAAAATAGGGACTTTATCACTTTATAGGGAGTTTATCTTTCTTTTTAAAGGCAGTAACCAGGGGTCTGGGGAGACTTAGTCTTGTCCAAAATTCAGAAGCTATTTTGTACATGGAGCTCTTTTGGTGTTCTACACATGAAATAGCTATGGGATCTCTCTCAACTCACAGCATCCTGAGGTACAGGGCACTCCCTGGGTCTGTGTTGAGCCCTTGTGCTCCTGGACAGGGACCAATCAGTGGTGTTTGGTTCCAGCATGCTGGCACAAGTGCACTGCTTGCTCAGTCTTCTGCACTTCTGCACCTTTGCCTTCTCTGGCCTATTTCTGGCTTCACGCTGATGTTCAACCCTTCATAGAGTGATGCCTTGCTGCCCTGGACTTTCTCCTCCTCCTCCTCCACCCCATAGACATACACACAAGAACACACACTTTCCCAGGCTAGCTCAGGCTTGTTGAGACTCACGTTTATCTTTTTGTGCCATGTCTGTAGTTCACTTATCCAAGGGCACGTGAGATTGGAATCGTAAAGAACAATTTGCTTTTTAGATAGTAAAAGAGTGAAGTGGGTCTGGATGAAACAACCAAGCATTTTAAAATGTAAGTTGTGAAATCGGGTGCAGTTATCTGCACACACATGCATCCAGTGCTGCTTTCTCTGTGAAACTGTTGCCTATTGTCAGCTCAATAGACTGTCAAAGTCCCACTAGGTGCTGTTGCTTAGCTACCAGCCTACCTGGACAAAACTTTGTTTTCTTGGTTTGGCAATTTTCTGTTCCCTGCATTTGCTATGTGGAGTGATTCAGCAACTATTGATTCCTACTAACTCACTCTGCCAGCTCAGACATGCAAAAGCAACTCATTTGGCTTCTTAGCACAAGGAGAATGAAACAGGAGCACAATGAAAGACACGGGGTGAAGATATAGAAATTTTCATAAAGTCAAACTGGAATTAAATGTTTGATAGACAAACTAGAAAATAAGTTTTTCCTTTCTAGTACTCATACTTTATTATTTCAGAATGATACAGCAGCCTTACAAACTTTAACTCTTAATTTTTCTGATTCAATGCTTTCAGCTACAGGCCTATTCCAGAAGATGTTCTTCTACATGCGTTTGAGGTCTGTAACTAAATATTTGGGTACCTAATTGCTGGAAAAAATAGCTGATTCTTAATGTAGTATGATTAAAAGCACAACAGTTTTATCCTTTTTATTTAAAGGCTTTAGATGAGAATAAAAGTGGATACATTACTAAAGAGGACCTGGTAAAACACATGACTGAAGAAGGTAATATGATTTTTATAATATCACTGTTTATGTAAACATTACATGTGTATATGGCACCTCGTGGTCCTAATTTTTCAAGCCAAAACTTGCAGGAGTAGGTACACCATCTTCAAGTAATCCTATTGCCTTTATGAGTGTCTACAGACTGGAACATTTCCCTGGTGAATAATGCAGGGAAAGAACATATCTCTGCCTTCTTGCAGATATTATAAAATCTTATTATAGAGTCATAATCCAGTCTTGTGTGAGTATTTTGTGATTCTGTGCACATTTTTGTGCTTCTAAGGATGTGATTCCTTTTCCTCCCTCTAAAACTTCAGTTTAGATTTTGAAATGTTCCAGGTAATTTCAGTACTTATTCCTGCATTATCTTGATCTTAATTCTAGTGCCCTATGCAAAGAGATTCAAAGACCAGATTTAAGTTGTATATCGTGTAATTCTCAATATTTCTTGAAGAGCCTGCTTTTCTTGCATGGCTGATTCATGCCTGCCTACCTCAAGTACAAACTGACAAGCATATCTTGTGCAAGACTGGGTGTTTTGGAGCTTGTGAATTAAATGTGGATCAAAAGATCTAAGTCCTCTGTCGTCTTTCTTAAACTAGCTGGCTTGGCATGCAGGACTTATATTCTTTTTTTCCTGCACATAAACACTGAAAAAAATATCCTTGCAAGAGAGAAGTTGTAATTTGTCAGCCCTGAAAGGAATAATTACCAAGACAAAGTGTTACTTTCCTTTCTTTTTCAGGTGAACCGTTTACTGAGGAAGAAATGGAAAAGATGCTCTCCAGTGCTCTAAATCCAGAAACAAATGCAGTTCATTACAGAGACTACATTTCAATGATGATAGTAGATGAAACTGATGATCTTCCACAATAGACTCTGAGGTGTCTTTTGGTAACAGCAGTGTAGCTTTTCAGTTAGTTGAAATTTCAAGTATAACAAAACACAGTGTGTGACCTTGTGCTTATAATTAAAATAAAATCTGTGTAGTTATATTTCCTTAGATTCTGACTGTATATTGAAATCTATTCATACTTGGAAAAAGAGTTCTTGACAGAAATGGTATCTGAGATCTGGAAGAGAAATCATGGAATTTGGTTTGAAAAATAACAGGAAAAATAATGGAGTCCAGAAATGACTTTACAATTGCTGCTGCAAAAGTAATGGAAAAGTGAGACCTGGGAAAACAGATCATAAGAAGGTATTTTAATACAGCTGGAATGGTGAGGGCATACTAATATGATAAAGCTTTTGTATTTAAATGTGATCCCTGTTTGTGTTTAACTAATGAGGCATTGATTGCTACATTTGAAATAATATCACAGGTGAATTAAATTTTCTGTGGTTTGTAGGTCTTACCAAATACTTGCATTTTGTTCACCATGGGCGATTAAATGGGACCAGTTAGTTCCATTGTGTGCTACTTATCCACTGGCATACAGTGCTTTGCTTCCATTTTAAACATGTAGTTAACACTCAAACCATCACAAGAATCACATTTTAAAACAAAATAATACTTTGTTACTATACTCAATAAACAGATCCTGTTTTATAATCAGTTTGAAAATCAGGAGCTTGAATTGTTAAAAATTTAGGAACATAGGCCTGGAATTTGATTTTCACAAATGGATAAAGAATCGTGTTTTGAAAGATGTTAGTGTACAATACTTCTCTCCAGTGCTTTTCCTGGAAGGTGGCTGCAGACCTCACTGCTCTTTAGCATTTTCTTGATTGCTACTGTACTGTTGTCCTTTAACATGACTTTCACTTCTTTCCCCTTGAGTTCTGTGTACTGTGTGTTCTAACAACTGATGAGCATTTGCTGCAGAGGTCTTAGCTTGTTGGAGAAGACTTGCCCACTAGGGCAGCATCTTGCACTTTGTGCTCCACATTTTATGACCCGTTTCTGTTCTTCTAATTTCTGTCATGTTTATCACTCCTGCATATACTTTGTATCCCAGCTCTGTGTCATCATCAGACTTCATCAGCTGATAAAAGCTGGGGAAATCTGACACACAGACATTAAATGCATTCTCCCCTTTATACTCTTCTAGTGGCAGAGAACAAGGCAATGGAGTCTTCAGCTTTTATATCTTCTGTTCTACCCATGTGAGTTGGAAACTCAAGGTGTTCTTAGATACGAGAGCAAGAGAGCTGCTGTGCTTCATAAGGAAGAGATTAGCTTATTTAATGTGGTGATGGCAATCAAAAAGAGCCCATTTTTTAAATTCTCTTTTTATTTCTGTATCCTGAGTTGTATTCCACTGACCTCTTCTTAAACAGTAGGGCAGCAGAGTATTAATACAAGTAAACATTTGCCTAGATCTTAGCTTTATTTCCACGTGGGAATCACTATGGCATTATGCAGTATGCTCTTGTTAATACATTTACTATGTATTTCATTTCTTTCTCAGTAAGAATGAAAAACAAAGGTAATCACGGGGTTATAATGTATGAAGATTTTTGAAGATTAAAGTAAGAGCAGCAAAGATCCATTAATCTTTCTTTGGAAGCTGCTGTTATTTTCCCTAGATGAATCCTTCTTCCATTTGATACATGGTGTGTTGTACTAGATCTGTAATGCAGCTGGCGTGAATACAAGTTTCATTCATATTCTGCAGTCTGGGAGCCACTGTCAGCCTCATCTTGGATGTCAGCAGAAAGATGCTCATTTCAGGAAATCATTTGGTAGCTCACAGTGCTCCAGAGAACACAATTTGTCTGGTGCTGCTACCCCAGAGGCCACCTCAGCTACAGCTGCATCAAATTGGGATGCCCATGTGCAACACAGTTACAATTCCTAGCAAAGGCAGGGTCCTAACATACATCCTTTGATATATATGTAACTTTTATCATACAGTCTCAAATGCAAAGGAAGAGGGTGGTACTCTGGCCTTTTTGAAGGGTATTACTCCTCTGAAAAGATAATGTGTAAGTAAAACAAATAGAAGCAAATTGCAGTCTTGACTTTGGGCATAAGCAACCAAATTCAGTAACCTGCAGTTTCCAAACTGTGGATGAAGGAAGGATCAAAAAACAGTATTAATCTCTGTAAGGTCCTAAGAGCAGAGCACTTCCTGTCAGCTAGGATCACCTAACAGTAGCCTGATTGACTTGTAAAGGAGCTGCCCCATGGGTTCCCTGGCAAGTAGCCAATTAGTATTAATTCTTCCATTGCACTTGTCTTCTGTGCCATCCTGGCCTATGCTGTGCCCAGCTGCTCCCCATAGTAGTGCTGGGCTGCCTGAAAATCCCAGGTTGGGCTCTCTGTGCATCCTGGTGGTGAGCAGGGTCCTGTACCCTAGGGACTGCTGGTCAGAGAGAGGCTTAGGGAATCGTTTTGCAAACACTAAATAAATAATTTGTTTTTAAATTTTAAATTCAGGGGGAGAAAATCATCCTCATCTTTGAGGTAGACAAATTTAACTTCATGCTGCTGAGTGGTTGTGAGCTGTCTCTTGCTACATGTCTGCCTGTCCATGCTGGCTCTTTTCCCTCTTCCCTCAAGATCAGGAACCGAGATAGAGGAGTGGATTGTGCCAGGAAGCCTCTAGGGAGAAACCAGCCTAGCACCTGGACTAGATCCACACAAGGAATTAGAGCCAAAGCTTTGCAGAAATTGAGGAAGTCAGAGGCTTTTTGACCTAGTTGTGGGAGGGAGAGAGAACTCATTACTTAGATATAAAAAGGAAAAGAAAAGTAGAGAAGAAAAAATCAAAGAATACTGGAAGTCAAGAATACAAGAAATCAAATACTGGAAACCATCTACAGATATAACTGAATCAGCAGGCTGTTTACACCACTGCTACAAGTTATAAGCTGAACAAGACCCTACTTGTTCAAAACATTATGTAGATTCAGCTGTGTCAGAGCAGATCTTGTATATAGGGAGACCTTCTCCCCAGTCTTACTGCTAATGCAGAGAAACTCTTCTAGAAGCTGAACTGGTAGTTTGAAGTCCAGCTGCTTGTATTCCAGGTAGTATATTGTTTCTTATGTTTCCATCATCAGCTTCATAGCTGTTTGTTTGCAATGCTTTATCTCTGCTCACAGCAGAGGACTTTAACATTCTCCCACTGTAATATATATCAGGATGGTATTTGGAGTTAGGGACTGAGAGATGCAGCAAGTAGCTGTTGTGGAAGGGGAAGCATGTTTCTTGACATGCTGGGTCTGGTAGAGGAGAAGACGAGAGCAAGGGACAAAGAAAGCTTTTTTGCTCTGAGGACAGCCAGGTAGTGGAACAAGCTGCCCAGGGAGGTTATGTAGTCTCTATGTGTGGATGTTTTTAAGATTGAAAAGTACAGAGCTCTGACCAAAAGGATAAAGCCCTGAGCACCCTGTTCTGATTGCAGAGCTGACCCTGCGTTGAACAGGGGTTGGACAAGGGACCTTGTGAAGTCCATTCCAACATGAATTGTGACACGATCTTATAATTGTGGAGCCATTTGTCAGATTCTTCTGATTAAATATGGGTTGTTGTCATGGATGTGTCCCGTCTGAGAGGAGTAGAGAGCCTGATATGCTGACCAGTCCTGACCCATGGGGAGATCTGCTGCCTTTTGCTCTCCTTCACACAGCCAATGCCTTACTGCTTGTCTGACAACAATTATTAAGACAGTATCAGCTGCTGATCTCAGGATGTCATTTATCAGTGGATTTGTTGCCCCTGAAATCAGCACTGGCAAAACTTGTCAATAGTAAGGAGAAGGACTGAGGCGTTTAGTTTCAGGGTAAGCTTGGCTGGAGGTGCTGGAGGCCAGCTAGGGCTGGGACTGGAAAGGAGAAGCTATGATTTTCTAAGTTCTATAACATACTGTTATCATCATGTAAAATTGGGAAACGTAGTCTCAATAGTAAGGCATCATCTTGGCAGACAGTTTTCATTTTAGACATTGTAAGAGGTATTGGATAAGTCATATAATCTCTCCTTAGTTGAACTTTTCGTCTATAAAGTCTGAGTAATTACAAAGAGACATGGAATACCTATCTTATCTACCTGAACTGTCAATTTTGTATCACTAGCTCTGATGTTTGTGCAATGTCTGTTACGATGATGTTCTGATCAAAATCAGTGCCTACAAACCTCTCTGCCATATCACAGAGTTCTCAACCTTCAGGCCTTTTGTTTCAGACTGTACACTCGGGTCACAACTTTTAAACAGGTCAGTGTGCAGCAAATATGTTTGTTTCCATTGAACACAGCTCTGTTTCATAGTGCCTCATGCTGTGATAAGCTTGATTGTGAAAGTAACTGTTGAAACATTTGGTCTTACTGTTGGAGGAGTTTTAGGGCACATCAGTATGAGGTGTGGGGACTAGGCTGATTTAAAAGCTAAAGAAAGATGTAGGTTGAAATAAAGCAGATTCTCTTGTTTAACCCATTTTGAATTGTGGGGCTATTATTTGGCCTAATATACTTCTGGAAGCCAAGGAAATGTTATTCATCATGCTCAAAAGATTAATCACAGCATTTGTATCTGAGGCCTAAATCCTGCAGTCCTTATTCAGACGGATCTCCTTTTGATTTCAAAGGGAGTTCTGTCTGCAGAAGAGCTTCACAAATAGTGATGTACTGGCTCACAAGGTGCTGTAAAAACCTTTTAGTCTCTGTAAAAGAAGTCTCATCTGTGGAAAATCTAACAGATGTACAACGAGCATGCAAATTGTGCCACTGAGATGACCGGAAACATAAAACCATGGGAGTGGGTAGTTAATTCTTGTCTGTATTAATGTAAACAAGATTCTACAAGAGTTAGGAGACAGAACTTTCCCATATTTTTCAGACTACAAAAGGTCAAATGGAAGGATGCTACTGCTACTGGAGGCTTAAAATTACTTTTTCCTGCCATTATCTTGGAAACACTGCAGCCATAAGAACACACACACATTTGTGACTTCATATATTAAAAATTTTCTTTTATCCTAGACTGTAGTTTAAAACAGGCCCTCCTGTTCCAAGTACTTGCCCTAACGATAGCATGAAAGGAGACAATATGAAATAAGATTCTTTCACAGTGGAAAGACTTGTATTATTTCCTGCCAACAGCAGTCTCTTTCCTGTCAAGGTAGCTGCAGTATCCTTCAGTGCTGAATGAGCTCTAAGCTTCATGGTAAGGTTTCTATCCATAATTTCCCTTGGAGACCAGCCTTGTGATTAACATAACTTGAGTGGAGTTCTCAGGCTTCCAGAGATGCAATCTTAGAATGGACCTGTAGCATTTAAAGCTGTCTGAGGTCTCTGACGTTTGCAAGTTGTCCAAGTTTTATGCATTACAGTAGTTTAAGTTTTACAGAGATGGAATACTAAGGATGTGGTAGAATCCAGGTGGAAGCTAGTAGCAAATGCTGAATTTTAACTTCATTTTAATTTATAGTAACACACTGAAGAAAAAAACAGCAGTTTCTGTTTGCACAGTGAAGCTGCACTTAATACTCCAGAGACAAAACTGAGAAACCCATCAGTAGCCAGCTTTCACACTGTGGTAAGTTATTGCCTTGATAAGCAGTGTCATTCTTCAGTGCTCCCCCAAACTGAGAGTTGCATTAAAATTCAGCTCAAATTTGATTTAAAGTTGAGAACCTATCTCTAGTTCTTTGGACTTCATCAAACTCTCAGAGTTTAAGCTGGATGCAATGTATTACTGTCAACTGATGAGATTGTCAGGGAAGAACTACCTGACAAAGTTTTATGACTAGTGGAAGCAGAACACTGAAAATAGAGGGCTTTGCCTCCTCCAGAGGGAGGAAGGAAAGGCGAGAGGGAGGGAGGAAAGGAGAGAGAGAGATCAAGCTGTCCTGCTCCACCAGAGTCAGAGGACATTGCAAGACGTAGCTGCTCAAGATAGCTTTCATTCGATTTATAGAGGCTGTCTTGATTGAGGTTTAGTTTGAATGTAGTTTGTTTTTATTGAGAGTTTCCTCCAGTACTTCCTCATCTAGAGCATTGCTATCTCTTCCTACTTTTCTATTACAGGAGCACTATGAGGCTCAGATTGGGAGTTGTTTCATGACAGTGTGTGATCTAATAACAAATAGTATCTGATTTAAGAACACATAAAACGCAAGGTAGAGTAGGGTGTTGATAAAACCAGGTACATACTCTTTTTTTGTAGTTCTATCATTTTATTTAATTGTAGTTAGTTACAATTTCTACAAACAACTTATGAGTTTCCTCTGTTGCTCCTTTCCCAAGACAGGTTTGTTTTTGATGTCACACCTAGTACATATACTGATAGCATCTATAAAAATGTGCTGGAAACAGATATAAGGAGCTGTTCATAGCACATAACCATTGCTTTTGCACCAAGCGAAGACAGAGGTTCTTTCTCTTCATTTCCTACTGGCAACATTTGTGTTTTCACAGGGATCTTCTGGTCCATTTGGGTAGAACTGAGAGACCATGAAGAAAGGGGACACATGGAAATGTGGTTTGTTTTTTTTTTCCTCACATAAATGGCTGAAACATTGCTGTTTCTCGTATGAATAACTGAAATTTTTATT